TTAAGTTGCGCACGGTAATTCCAGCAATCAGCATTACAAGAGGAAAGTTCCGTGTTCCATGTTGGAACGTTCGCTCGTTGTTGGGCGAAGGTAAGCTACACGAAGCCCATCAAAGGGCCCGTCGGATTAAACTCGATGTACTGGAGGCCACGGAAGCTCGCCTCTCAGAGAAGGGCACTCTTGACCTTCAGAATGAGTGGTCATCTTGGCGGTCATGTCACAGTGGGTTACGCCGCGCCGGAGTTGGTATCCTATTGGCCAACAGAGTTAGCCGGACGGTCATTTCAGGGGAACAGGTGTCGGAGAGAATCCTGGTTTGTCGCCTGAATGTCAAACAAACGACGACACTGAATGTCGCCGTAACCTACGCCACAACAAATGTGTACAGTGACAGCGCCGAAAGCGTTTTCAATGACTGCTTGGGGTCAACTGTTGGCGCTTGTCACGTCACGACGTTACAATTGACACAGGCGACCTCATCGCAAATGCGTACTCTGCCGTCACAGTATTGACAGATCTAATGATGAGGGTAGGTGTTGGTTAAGCTTTTGTGCCACAAACAGTTTAATCGTCGGCGGAACCTCTTTTCCTCATAAGCGTATTCACCATTTAACTTGGACGTTTCCTGATGGAGGCTTAAACCTACATATCCTGGTCAACCATAAATGGCGCAGCTCGTTTGAGCCTCGCGATAGGCCTGGTGCCTGCAACGGGTCTGAGTACCATATGGTCATAGCGAAACTTCGTCTAAAATTAGTCGTGTAGCCTCGATGTCTTCTGGTTGAAGCTCATCAGCTATGTTCGATGCTGACGGGCTACAGTACGAAGAAACGGCTCTGTCGGCCTACCAAGAGGAGATTGAGAGATATTTTAATGCTACCCCTAGTGACAAAGCTGGAAGCGGTAACTTCGCCAAAGTTGACAAGGACTTGGAAGAAACCGTAATTTCCTCAGCGAAAAAAATACCTTGTGTCAAGAAGACAAGAGTCAAACTGCATCGGCTGAGGGAGAAGGTCTCTTAGTCCTTAGAATGCAAGGG